GTTGGATTTTGGCTCTTGTGGCCTTGTTTACATTTTTTTCAGCTTCAACCTGAGTTGATATATGAGCAATTGATGGTCTGATCCACCGTGGGCTCCTGGCCTGCTTTGAGCGGCGGATATTGAGCTTTTCCAACCTCTCTTCCCACAAATGTCGTCAATTTGATTTCTGTGTGTTCCACCTGAAGAAGTCCATAGAGACAGTCGCCTTTGGTGTCGTTGAAAAAGGTATTTCCTACGAACAAGTTACTGATCCTACAACGTTCAATCATGTGATCTGCAGGCTTCTTTCTATTGCCAAGGTCATATTTTGCATGTACGGGTTCTTCCTCTTTATTGTCCAACTTTTCCATTCCAATCCGCAGTAAGTATCCATGCATCTTGATCCCATGTTTGATCCATTTCCAACTGAAGCTGTTGGTAGAATTCTTACATTTCTTCATCACTAGCTTTTGTTGTTGGTGCATACATGTGACTAATAGTTGTATGGATTGGATTTCTTTGAAAGTGGATAGATACAATCCTGTCACCGAGAGCATTATACTCCAGGAGAGACCTTGAAATGTCCTTCTTGATGCAGAATGCAACTCCATTCCACTGGACGGCGTGTATGATTTCTTGATTCAAAATGGCCTATCCCAGTCCACTCGAGTTCACTAGCGCCTATGCTATTGATCTTTATGTGTTCCATTTTATTGTTGATGACCTCCAATCTTCTTAGATGCATCCTGTGTGCATTCCAGGTGTGGAGTATTCATTGATGTTTGCCGTTGTATCTTCCTGGCTTGAGTTTTACCCCATCAGCAAAGAAGATCCCTAAGGCTCCACTTGCATAGGCTCTACCCCATTCACATCACCATGGTTGACTCTACTTTGAGAAATCAGAGCCTCCTCTGATTTTGAGTGCCTTCGGACCCAAGGGCCCATCTGCCGGCACTGTCTCTGACAATGTCCTGCTTCCGGTCACTAGGTGGTCAGTGGCTACTTCCTCTCAAGTGGACGGCTGGGTCTTTCTTCAAAGTCTGTTCTTCGTCGGGAAGCTCTGCTGAAACCTGTTCACTTTGGGTGGCCCTGCTGTCATTTTAAATGCCATTGATGGGATCTTCCAGCACCGCAGCAACACACGAGCCACCACACAACGACAAACGGAGGAGTGGTGGGAGGAAATAGAAGGATGGCTAATTGTCCCCATGAATAACTGCCTCCTTTGCCATGAGACCAGGAGAGCTGGATGGTGACCAGCGACCATTACCAAACATGTTGATCAAAGAGTTTCTTGAAGAATGCTGATCAAAAAGGGGAAAGTGCAAAACAAAATGTCAAATTCTCATAGATTCTAGACCTTTGGGATCTTTTCTGTTTGTTTGTTTTTATCACTTTATTGGGTGCTCTTACAGCTCTTATAATAATCCACACATCCATTGTATCAAGTACATATGTTGCCATCATCCTTTTCAAAACTGTTTCTTTCTACTTGAGTCCTGGGCATAGGCTCCTCTTTTTTCCCTCCCTCCTCTACCTTCCCATCCTCGTTAGCCCTTGATAAATTATAATTATTTTCATATCTTACACTGTTACCACCTCCCTTCACCTACTTTTCTGCTATCTGTCCCTGGGAGGGGGTTATATGTCAATCACTGTGATCAGTTTCCCCCATTCTCCCCCTGCCTTCCCCTTCCCCTCCTGGTATTGCTACTCTCATTATCTGCCTTGGATTTCCTATGTTGCAAGCTCTTATCTGTACCAATGTACATGCTCTGGTCTAGCCAGATTTGTAAGGTAGAGTTGGGGTCATGATACGACACCTCGTGATTACACAGGCTGGTGTGCCTCTTCCATGTGGGTTTTGTTGCTTCTCAGCTAGATGGGCCATTTGTTTATCTTCAAGCCTTTAAGACCCAGATGCTATATCTTTTGATAGCCGGGCACCATCAGCTTTCTTCACCACATTTGCTTAGGCACCCATTTTGACTTCAGCAATCATGTCAAGAAAGGTGAACATCACAGAAAGCTAGATTATTAGAGCAAAGTGTTCTTGCATTGTGTGAATACTTGAGTAGAGGCCCAATGTCCATCTGCTGCCTTGATACTTAACATATAAATATATATACATACAGCTATTTCCCTATCATTATATATGTATACATTTACATATGTACATGCCTGTATTTAGACCTTTATAAACGTCCTTTGCCTCCTAGTTCTTTTCTCTATTTCCTTTTACTTTCCTCTTGTCCCACTAATATATTCAGCCTTCATTCAGGGACTTTTGGGATCTTGATCCATAGAGGCTGGATAAACCTCTTGTTCTGGGATCATCTTTAAACCTTAAACCATAAATACCCGCTAAAGTTTTCTCTAAAACCAAACAATAGTTTGACTTGGTTAGTAAAGAATGTCTGTCTTGAGCACTGTGTTCTTATAAAGAATTATTTTGAGATCAGATTGAAAAGAGCAACTCAAAAGGTTCGATGAGAAACGTTGGAGTCAATGGATTCGTGTGAATGATGGAGGATAACTGAGGAGAGTGAGAACAATTACATCACTGAAGAAAGTAAACAATATTACTGAATTGCACATGTAGAAATGGCTGGATTTGTACTTGCTTTACTGCGGACATTTGCAACCACAAACGTAAAACAGGAAGGGACACAACACCGTCTAGTGGAACCCAAAGCCCTGGTTTCTCTCCTAGTCCGTGTGTCAGCATGTAGGGATTCCCAGCCCTTGAAGGAGTCCTTGGGGTGACTTTGCTGTTGTGGAAAATAAGACAGACAGACAGTGGGGCACAGGGGCACCTTGCCCCACTGTCGGAACCAAGAGAGTGAATATTATTGTCCAATGGGTGTGTATAAGGGGGCTTACAGATCTTTCAAAAGGCAGACATGTCATACAGTGAACAGTTTACATAGCTGATGGGTGATTTTACAAACTGGTAACATAATAAATACGCAATGAGGTGAATCATCATCTTGACCTAGTGCTAATCTCTGATCGGTATCAGCAAGAGATGTCCAGAAAGAAGTTGCTACATCTTATGGTGGGTTGGTTATAGAACCCACCTGCAGGTGACCTTCAGGCATAACGAATAGCCAGACACAAGAACAATTCCTCTTTTATGGTGGCTTCTTAAGGGAGGGTTATGGCAGGGGGCACATTTCAGCCCAGAGAACATGTATTGGAAAACTTTTCTCTTTCAGAACAATGGAGATCTTGCTCAAAATTGGGCTCGTTTTCCAGTCCCGTGGTTGGGAGTGTAGAAATAAGGTGAAATACACTCCTTCAGGTCCTCAGTTTACTACATCCATGTGCCTGAAAAACATCAGAATTTGTTCAAAGGTCAACAGGAGATTCCACATATGGAGTGAAGAGGCAGCCCCAAGTTCAGTGTTGTCTTAATTAATAGTCTCTATTTGATCTCTCTGGCTTCTAATATCCATTGCAATGGCTACACAGAACTCACAGACAAAATTCATGACCATAGAGTTTATTAAGCAAGTGAACAAGCTGTAATGCCAGTGAGACATACTCAGGGTTGAGTTGTTTATCAGGACACGTTACAAAGTTCTTTCAGATCTGGTCATCAATGCCCAAGGGGGCATCCCCACTCCATTGTAAGCCTCAACCTGAAGGTCTTCAGCGCAAGCTCTGTGGGCCAGCAAACCCAGCTCCCTGAATCAAGTGACACCCCACTCCGGTTAGCCTCAGCCCAAAGACCCTCAGCTCCACTTCCAGGAGTCAGCAAGCCCAGCTTCCTCAATTAAGTGCCCAGAGGCACCCTACTGCACCAGCCAGGCACCAAAGAGCTCAGCTTTACTTGCTCCGTAGGTTAGCAAGTGCATCACTCTGGTCCATATGCTGGTTTCCGGCTCTGCTGCAGCTCCTCTGATGGTATAGCTTTCCTCTGGATTCACGAGGTTCACTGCACAAGGATTTCAAGTCCAGAGTCATGGGTTCTGCTGGTAATGAAATCCCTCCTCCCGCTTCTCAGAGGGCTCGTTTTATACACAGCAGGAAGGCGCTCCAGGGGATCTGACTCACAATTACCCACAGGTGAATCCTTCCAGTGTGTTCCCACACCTTCTTACAATACCCATGCAGGGAAAGGTCATTGGGTGGGGGTTAGAGACTGGGCTACAAGAGTCAGGTTGCCGTATATACTCGTGTTTAAGCCGAGTTTTTCCAGCACATTCTTAATGCAGTTTCTGTGGTAAAATTAGGTGCCTGGGCTGATAACCGGGTCAGCTTATACTGGAGTATATACGGGAAATAGTTACTGTCCCTGTATGATCTCCCATTAGAGACTTTTTCCCAAAGGTGAACAATAGGAATGGGCACTTGGTCCTATGAATCCATCAACACCATCTATTAAGTAAGGGCTCTTTCCTACAGTCGGTTGCTGTCAGAAGGTGCCAGTCTGACCCATAGCAACCCTACGCCCAACAGAATGACATATTGCCCAGTCCTGCACCCTCCTCACAATTGTTCCTGTGCCTGAGCCGATTGTGGCAGCCACTGTGTCCATCCATCCTGTTGAGGGAGGGCCTTCCTCTTTTTCGCTGCCTAATGTCCTTCTCCAGGGACTGGTCTCTCCTGATATGTCCAAAGTCTCCCCACCCTTGCCTCTAAGGAGCACTCTGTCCATATTTCTTTCAAGTTTCCTAGAGCAGGTGTGACAAATTGATTTCATCTCATAAGCCAACTCCTGTAAACTGTGATGGCCACTGGGAATGGTGGCCCAAGGAGAATCCCAAGGAGACAATAGCTCAGCAGGAAAGAGCCTCATGATCGACTAGCCATGTCTGCCGTGGGCTCAGGATGGGAAGGTGGTGCCACGTGTGTTGGCTTAAGCATCACTGAAACCATCCTTCTCCCCACCTCATCCCATTTTGTATATGAGAAGACTGATGTTCCAGGAGAGCAGGAGCAGATCCAGAAAGAAGGCCCCCACTCCTCAGTCCTCACAGCTTACCTCTGACACCAGGTCCCTCCTGTCTCCATAGGCTCTGAACCCAAGCCATGTGTCCAGACCTTTGACTCTGGGGTTGGAGCCTCCGCCACGACCCGCAGCAGTGGTTCCTGTGCTGGACCCTGGAGACCTGAGAACTCGGGCTTTTTATCCACCATGGAGGATGAGCAGGTAAGAGCTGATGGCCAGTGACAGCAAGTATTATTTGTTTAGTACCTGCATTTTTACTTGGCACTTTACATACTTCACCTCAATTAATCCCCCTAAAGAAACTTGGGAAAATATTATCCTGTTATAGACGAGGCAACTGGGATTCTTTCTGGAATAAGAAAGATAGAGGGTGTAGAAATGAGTGAATGGATGGTTGAGTGGGTGAGAGGATGGATGGATAAGTGGGTGGGTGGATAAGTGGGTGGGTGGATAAGTGGGTGGGTGGATGGGTGGGTGGGTGGATGGGTGGGTGGATGGACAGGTAAGTGAATGAGAGGATGGACAGATGGGTGGATAAATGAGTGGGTGTGTGGGCAGATGAGTAGGTATATGAATGGGTAGGTGGATTAGTGTGTTGGTGGATGGATGGATAAATAGATGGATGAATGGATGGGTAAGTTGATGAGTGGATGGATGGATGGTTAGA